GAACAAATTACAGGACCAAAAAATACCACACAATACCATACAATACCACCCTGGTACGGGGTGGTATTGTATGGTATCTTCTTCGTTTTTAATTCGTTTTTGAAAACGTTTGCACAGAAGGGACGAGTTCATCATGATCTATTGGATCTACAAATTTCTGGGTGAACAAATTACAGGACCAAAAAATACCACACAATACCATACAATACCACCCTGGTACGGGGTGGTATTGTGTGGTATACAATGTTAAAAGTCGTAAATTACAATTAATATACTTCTACTATCATGTATTCAATCATCCTACAGTTTTGGTTTGTGTCATACCAGCATGGTACGCTTTTCAAACCATAGGTATGCTTTTATTTCAATACCAGTCAATACCATATGGTATGAACTGGTATAAAATGGCTCAATTTTTTTTGTTCGAAAAATATATTAAAGTGGATATCATTTTGAAGAGCACAATTAATCTGATCTAACTGTGCAAAAAAATTTAAATTTCGACTTAAAACGAGTGAGAAATCGTCCGTCAAAGATTAAAGAGAGAAAAATTAAAGGCTTTCTATGAGAGAGAGGATGCTGATGTCATGCTGATGTGGACGGATTACTCATGGTTACTCACCATAAGGTTACTGACCTGATCCATTCCCCCCTTCTCTCCTTCGCTAGCCATTCTTTCTTTCAACTACCAAAATTGGAATTTTTTTCCTTCTATAAAACAAAAGTACATCTTATAAGGAAACTCAAATTAGTATCTATTGGAATTTTACTTAAATTGTAATTTTCGTGAGTTTTTTTTTTCTTCCTTCTTAACTTAAAACAAATAATGGTACAATATAAATTTGGCTTCTTATATATGCTATTCTTATAATTATTTAAATAAATATTAAAATTAACGAATATTAATGCTCTCTTCACGCTTTTATTATAAGATTCTTGAAAAGTAAGCACTCCCACCCTCCTTTTCCACGAACTGGTTATCTAAGTCAAGTATTATTGGGAATTAAGTGTGTTGGATTTAAGTGTTGTTGAATTTTTAACTATGATGGATTTAAGTTGATGTTATGTGATGGATTTAAGTGTTTGTTAAATACTTAAATTTTTACTATGTTGAATTTAAGCTAATGTTATTTAAGTGTGTTGGATTTTAAGTAGTGTTCAGAATAAGTATAATATAATAACTCTTTCCATATTTCCGGGTTAAACCGGACTAAACCGGGCTAAAATGGGTGACCAATTAACCCTTGACCCACTAGCTCAACCGGGTCCAGGTCGACCCACGGGTTGACAACCTTGTTTTTTAGAGAGAAATCAGAGTTGTTCTTCCATTCTAGTGAGAGAGTGATGTAACCTAGTTTCTTCGAGGAGATTTGCAGCATCCTAAAATCTTTGGAGGCTAGATTTCACCACCAAAAGCAACCAAAGAGTAAGATGATTGTCTTCCTATGATGATTGTCTTCCTCCTTTGGATGTATGTCTCTTCCTAGATATGGAGTAGTTCTCAATTTCACAAGGGTGTTATGGAACCCTAGTTAGTAGGTTTTAAGTGATTGTTTGGAAATCCTATCCTTGATCTGCATTCTTTATTATTAGATTATCTTTAATAAAAATGATAGTTCTTGATCACTTTTCTCAATTTGGGGCTAAATGCACTAGGAAAGAGAATATCTCCCTAGGTTGAGCATTGTCAATTCATCACTTGGGGTCTATGAGCGAGTGTGATTAGATCCTCAGTGCCGTAGTGGGTTTTATCCAATCATGGGAGTTAGTTGTGATTGGCTCAACTGCATAGGTTAGTTGTTGGTATGCATCTCCAAGTACTGTACTTGAGTAGGATTTGATAACTCGAATAGGGAGCCATCACAAGAAGAATACAAGGAAGGCAAGCAAAGTCATTGAATTATGTTGTTAGACTAAAGTTAGTCAGTTCTGTGATGTATATCGTCTCTCACTATTGGATGGATGTGTTCATGTTGCCTATGGCAGTGATTAGGGAGGAGACTCGACGTTTGTGTAGTGATTCACTATGGGAGTCACTTCTGGAATAATACTGAAGGCAGTGGTTGCATGGGAAAAAATTGACGTATCCTAAAAAGTGCAGACTGTCGAGTGACTCCCATACCATCGAGCACATTTTAGTCAACATATTAGTGATTTTTCTATTTAAAGTGCAGACTGTCGAGCACATAATACAAGTGTGCAGAACAAATTGTCTCGTTGATCTTCGTCAGCGCAAAAACCAGAGTAAGAGCTCGACAGTGGGAGAGATATATAATTCTTTTTTGCAATAGATTGTTCAAAATGTGCCTTAAAACTTTGATGAATGATCGAGGATAAGAGTAATATACACTATATTCATTCTCTTGTCCAAAAAATTAAAAAAATAAAATATCTGTTCATCCAAAATTTTCTGTTTGTCATTCATCTCCGTTGCTAAAATTCTTCTTCTCTGACCAAGGGAAGTAGTTGGGTCCACTCCTGCACCGCAAATTGGTTCTCAGCCACAAACACTATTTAGGTCTTCTTCTCCTGCTACTCGTGTATATAGAGGAAGATTAGCTAATGGCCAGGTAACACAAACATATCAATAATATCAGTAGCTGAAGAGTAAGAGCTCGACAGTGGGAGAGAGATATAATTCTTTTTTGCAATAGATTGTTCAAAATGTGCCTTAAAACTTTGATGAATGATCGAGGATAAGAGTAATATACACTATATTCATTCTCTTGTCCAAAAAATTAAAAAAATAAAATATCTGTTCATCCAAAATTTTCTGTTTGTCATTCATCTCCGTTGCTAAAATTCTTCTTCTCTGACCAAGGGAAGTAGTTGGGTCCACTCCTGCACCGCAAATTGGTTCTCAGCCACAAACACTATTTAGGTCTTCTTCTCCTGCTACTCGTGTATATAGAGGAAGAGTAGCTAATGGCCAGGTAACACAAACATATCAATAATATCAGTAGCTGAAGAGTAAGAGCTCGACAGTGGGAGAGATATATAATTCTTTTTTGCAATAGATTGTTCAAAATGTGCCTTAAAACTTTTATGAATGATCGAGGATAAGAGTAATATACACTATATTCATTCTCTTGTCCAAAAAATTAAAAAAATAAAATATATGTTCATCCAAAATTTTCTGTTTGTCATTCATCTCCGTTGCTAAAATTCTTCTTCTCTGACCAAGGGAAGTAGTTGGGTCCACTCCTGCACCGCAAATTGGTTCTCAGCCACAAACACTATTTCTATAATCCAAAAACTTATAAATATCTGATATCTTCTATGCTAAACAAAGTAACAGATACAACCTAAGCTAAGAGTATTATTCTAAACATAAATCTTATCCCTGGGAATGAAAGCAAACAGAAAGTGGGTAAGAATTCTATATTCCGTTTTAGTTTAATAGGAGGCGTTGGAGTTGCGGGGTGGCGCACAATTCACATCCAATGATTTTATATTCGCTTCCGTTTAAAGATAAGAAGAGGCTTTAACCCAAAAAAAAAAAGGCATCGTTTTCCTACGATGGTGGTGCGATAATGATGTGTAGGAAGACGAACGACGCAGGGAGCACTATACAGTCGGGTGTATTTTTTAATTGGGTTGTGCTTTTCTTTGATAGCAATTAGCAGATATCTAATCGATTTCGAATAGAGTTTAAGAACAAAATGATTTTTTTAACCTAATAGGGAAAGTAATCATTTGGATGCTATTTTGTATCAATAGTATTTCATAGAGCTCATTCATCTATGTTTTAATTAGGTTCTAAACTCTCTTGATTCGTCACTTGAGTCATTCATGTTCCTTCAACATAATAGATATCTTTTAAATCATATATCCTTCTCATTCTTTCTCGATTTTACAAACAATGTCTCAAAGAAATCTCAATTCAAGATTGACATTCTAAAACGATTTTTACCTTATGTCAAGAAGTGTAGATATGATGATTGTTCGAAAATGGTGGGGGCGAGTTTTCAACGAACTGCTAAACGGGTAGGATTTTGGTATGCTATATTACAACTTGATCAAACTTTTGCTACGAAAATGATTACTATTTTAAAATCTAATTCGAATATGATACGCACTTGAACCCTTTGCCACATCCTACAGGTTACTATCCAAATGTCCATCATATATGAAATTTTGAAATGCTCTAATGACTGTCCATCGTGGGTAGGGATGGTAATTTCGACCTGACCCATTTTATCCGACCTGTTTGGCCTGCTTTGGGCGGGTCTGATCCCCCCTGTAGACGGGGCAGGGCGGGCATGGGTACCTCTCATCGACCTGACCTGCCCCGACCCGCCCCATTTTTGCCTACATTACATGTAATCTTAGTAAAATTATTTAGGATTTTCCTCTTATTACCTCATATTTTAGCTATAATAAACTTGTAAATAAGTTAAAACCTTAATTTCTCCAATAATTTAACTACATTTCATCATATTATGGTTTCTTTCTTGGCCTTTTAATGAAAATAACGAATATTTCTAATATTTTTCACATAAATTAGATACCCAATGGGTCAACCTGCCCTGACCCGTACCCCGTAATAAATTACCCGACCTGAACCCGACCTGCCACGGGGCGATTATAGGTATGGAGATACCCGCCCCGGACCTACCTATTGCCATTCCTAATCGTGGGTTTAGAATTTTTCGGCTAATGAGTGCATCCGATGACAAATAGGTTGTAACCAACAACAGTAAATCACACTCGGTTTCCCCAACCCAAAATGATGGGGAATTTGGAATTTGGAATCATCGCCGGCCAGGTTGACCTAACTGAAAGTGATAATTCCGTATGGTCGGTTCAGGAAAATGAAAGGAACAAATAATGAATGAGTGGTAGTCGTAAAATAAAAAACAAAAACACGACTATTGGAGTGTGACAGAAGCCGTCTCGTGGGTCGTAAGCCACCAATATCAATATGTAACTTGTGGGCCTGCCTTTTGCGTTGGATATAAAACGTCGGCGATGGGAGGCTTAAGTGTTTACTTTTTTTACTCACCAACTACTCGCTCCTCAACCATCATCTCTCTCTCAATCAAAAACACTGCCCTCTCTTGCTCCAGAAGGATATTGTGGGATATGACAAAGGTATACCCAGCTCGTAACCAGCTCCCCCGGTTGTCATACAATCGCTCATCCGTCGCCGACGACGACTCGTCACCGTCGGAGCAGGTTGTGCTGACGGTGTGGAAGAAATCGCTGCTCTTCAACTGCAACGGCTTCACGGTGTTCGATGCCAGAGGGAACCTGGTGTTCAGGGTCGACAACTACATGGCAGCCTCCGGCAGCAACGGCGAGATCCTTCTGATGGACGCCGCCGGCAAGCCTCTCCTCACCATCCGCCGCAAGGTAATTAATTAATGCCCCTACTAGCTAGTCATTTACATTGAGAAAGGGATTCCATATTTTTTTTTCTGCGGATGACTAATAATATATATACTTTTATTTTTATTTTTAGAGGATGAGCCTGACGGATAGTTGGCTGGTGTTCGAGGGAGAAACGACGACGAATCCCAAGTTGTGCGTCAGGAAGAAAGTACTCAATTCCAAATGTTTGGCACAGGTGAGCCGTTGCGGCAGCAACAACAGCAACATAGCGTACGAGATAGAAGGATGTTATGGTCAGAGATGTTGTACAATGTACGATTCCAAGAGGCGGATCGCGGCGGAGATCCGGCAGAAGGAGGCGGCGTTCGGCGGTGGTGTTGCTTTTGGGTTTGATGTCTTCCGCCTCGTTGTTCGCCCCAACATGATCGACACTCCTTTGGCGATGGCTTTTGTTATCCTTCTCGACCAGATGTTTGGGTCTTCCAAACGCTCTCCTCTTTCTTCGCCTCGTTAATTACCGAGCTTTGTTTTTTTGGGGGGAAAAATCAATCCAAACGTAACAGTACACAGTGACAGTACATTTAAATTTTCTACAGTAATTAGTATGTAATTTAGTTCTATACTATCATAGAGTGATTGGCTTCTTCTTTTTCCCCCATAGAGTTATTTATTTAATGGATCTATTTTGAGAATCTTTTCTTTTAAGTAATGCGGTGCTGCCAAAAGTAATTACTAATTAGGCATCTTCCCAAAACATCAAATATAATAAGTGTTGGAACTAGGCTGGTATGGTAGGAGTCTGATACAGATTGAATAAGGGACACGGGAAGCATAATATTCGATGAGGAGAGAATTCACTAGTTTTAGAGAGAAGTTAGGAAAAAGCTGATTTCCTTAGTAAATGCTCTATTTATAGTCTTCCCCTTGGTAAGTGGTCGGGTAATTAATGTGACAAGACTAGCGTGGCAGGAGTTGGTGCGTAGGTTTCTGAGGTAGTTCTTTCGCAGCGCAAGTGCTTAATCGAGATATGCGTTGAGGACGCATTCGCTCTTGTTGTAGTATGCGCACTCTAAGCGACCAAGAGGACAACATCGACAAGCGCGGCCAAGTAGTAATCACCCAAACTATTCCCCCCCCCCCCAACCAGGAGGTGATTCGCGGTTGCCTCTTGCGTTTGTCTCTTTTGTCATGCTTATCGTGTCGCACGTCTTTGCTTCTTCTATAATGGGATTCATTGGTTGTATGTGATAGTTCTCTAACTTACTGGTCTTTGTTGAAACTAGAAATGTTCAGTGGGGCAAGCTTGTTTCGTTGTTTTCCTTCATGGGGATGTAAAAATTGCCCCCCCCCCCCCACCCCCGGGAAGGGGCGATCCGCGTTTAGTCTTTTGTCGTCCCAATGCGAGGGAGCTTGACTTGTTGCTCCTTATGGAAGTGCAGGGATCTGCTTTGCCAGATGGCTGGTTTGCTCCCCCCCCCCCCCCCCCAGGCCGAGACCGCGCTAGAAGGCGGGGTGTCGGCAATTTTGTCCGAAGGTTGCTTTAAGAGATGATCACGTGATGCACTACGGCCCGTGAACAGTGCCCTAAAACTTCAGAAGGTACGTAGTCGTTAAAGGCAGAAAGTATCGACACATTAGTTGCGATTTTAGTGCTTTTCGACCGCGAAAAAGATCACGTCCGTGACACCAAAGATCATGGTCATGATCTCATGAAGGAGGCGGCAATCTTGGAACTTGAAGACGGGATTAAACACATCGTTTTGGGCGATTCGAAGACGTTCCAAGCTGGTCACGGCTAAGTCACGACCGTGACCATCGGGTCACGCCCTCGAGGTCGTGACCGCTACCAGCAACCTATAAATACTCCGACTAAACAATCACCAAAACCAAACGATGCATTGTGGATAATACATGCATTGTTGACATTCTAAGAGGATTTTTACCTTATGTTAAAGAAGTGTAGATATGATTTTTCGAAAATGGTGCGGGCAAGTTTTCAATAAACAGCTAAACGGGTAGGCTTTTGGTATGCTATATTACAAGTTGATCAAATTTTTGCTACGAAAATTATTACTATTTTAAAATCTAATTCGAATATATGCACTAGGCTGATACATCAAATATAATAAGTGTTAGAACTAGGTTGGTATAGTAGGATTCTAATACAGATTGAATAAGGGACACGGAAAGCATAATATTCAATGAGGAGAGAATTCACTCATCTTAGAGAGAAGGTAGGAAAAAGCTGATTTCCTTCTCAGTAAATAAAGTAAATGCTCTATTATAGTCTCCACCTTGGTAAGTGGCCGGGTAATTAATGTGATAAGACTGGCATGGTAGGAGTTGGTATGTAGGTTTTCGAGGTAGTCCTTTCGCAGCACGAGTGCTTAATCGCGATATGTGCTAAGGACGCATTCTCTCTTGTTGTAGTATGTGCGCTCTAAGCGACCAAGATGACAACATCGACAAGGGCGGCCAAGTAGTAATCACCCCAACTATTGCCCCCCACTAGGAGGTGATTCGCTGTTGCCTCTTGCGTTTCTCTTTTGCCATGCTTATTGTGAAGGAGGCCGCGATCTTGGAACTTGAAGATGTTCCAGGATGTTCACAACCTGGTCACGACTAGGTCACGCCCGTGATCATCAGATCACGTCCTTGAGGCTGTGACCATTACCAGTAGCTTATAAATACTCCCTTTTCTGCACTCGGCAAGAGCGAGCCCAGAGTGAGAAAGTTAGAGTTTTGGAGTGTTTTAGAGAGGGGAACACCTTGGGAGAGCTTCATTGAAGATCCAATCCACCCAAGGAACAAGAAGAAGGTGCAAGCAAGGAGAAAAAGATTGATTATATCACTCCCTCTCTTCTAGTTTGTGTTTTCTTTCGCTCTCTATGACTTGAATCTCTAATGGTTGTTTAGGGAAGATGAACCCTAGTTTATAGATTGTGTGTGTATGGGTTTTGAATGAATGTGTTTATCTAGTTGATTTTAACGCTGCATCCACTTTAATTGTGCTCGTGTAAGTCGCCCTAATCTTTTCTGCTAGACTACTTGAGCTTCTACACTGGGTATGAAGTTTTAGGGTTGGACAGGTATGCGTCATCTGGCAAATTAGGGTTAAATGAATGAATAGGGTCTTGTGGTGGACGAGACGATCGAACCCTGCCACAAGAATGCCCTCCTAAATGGAACCCGAGATGAAATCTTGGTGTGGACGGTGGGTAGTACCCATTGAAAGGAGTTAGGTTCTTAAAGCCTCAGATACGTGAACCTATACCGAGGTGACAATGGGGTAGGTACGGCGTACTTGGAGGCGTGTGGATAATCACGAAGGCCCACGGAAAAGAGCTCACTCATCACATTGCTTGACCCAACATGACAACCATAGCTAGGAGGATTTGGCCTTAGGAAACCATCACAATTCTAGCGGTCTCCCAACCACTTGGTTGATTGTTTATTTTGCCTTTAGGAGTAGGTTAGATTAGATTCTTCAACAAACCTTTGATTCGATTAGATAGTAGTTCGGAGTGAAGTAATAGTAAGCTTAGGGTTCCCTTGGAATACAACCGATGCACTTTACTACAACCCTAGCTAGGTTATGCTTAGTTTAGTTAGGATTGAATAGAGAGTGTGCATCGACTTATAAATTTAAAGCTCGATCACGCAAGCGATCAAGTTTTTGGCGTCGTTGCCTGGGAGCTTATTAGGAATAGCCGAGAACTACTAGTGTAATCATTTGTTGTGTGCCTTGTTTGGCGTTGTTTTGTTATGTTTTGTGTTTTGTGTTTTGTGTTTGTGTAGCAACAAGTCTTTGATGCTTTTTTCTTTTGTTTTTTGTTTGTGATGTTGTATTTTCTTTCTTTTGTTATGTTCCCTTTAGTTATCTTGTGTTAATTGTTTGTTCATTTTATGTTTTCTTTTCTTTTTACACTTGTGCTTTCATAGGTTGTTTTTGTGAATAAAGATAATGTTTAGGTGTAGCTACATCCATATGGGTTGCATGAGAAATGGGGAGATCGCCAACCACCGAATTGGTGTTATCTTGAAAATTCTAGTAGTGGTGCTAGCCAAGGATCCGGGTACGAAGAAAAACCACCTCTATATGCCTATCAACGGTACCTCCATGATTACCAAGTATCTCCACCATCATACCAAGAACCACTCCACAACCTGTGGTAAAGACCGAGTTGGAGATGGCCATTGAGGACTTAAGGCGAATACGCCATATCTAGATGGCCTTGAGATAACTCACTCAACTCCAACCCCCGGAACCAAAGAGCCTATACTGAGGTGACAATAGGGGTAGTTAGGGCATACTCGAAGGCTTGTGGATAATCACAAAGATCCACGAAAAAGAGCTCACTCACCACATTTGCTTAAACCAACACGACAACCATAGCTAGGAGGATTTGACCCTAGGAAACCATATCAACCAAACCTTTGATTTGCTTGGATAGTAGTAGCGTGACCCATAGGTGTAGGCAAAACGATTGATTGCTTTCCACAGTTCTATCCTCTACTTTGTCCTCAACCATTATTATCTTTTTACAGGTTTACTTTCGGCTTGTAACAACTCAACATTTTCTTTGTCTCACATCGGGAAATGAGGGGAGTCATTTTTAGTGCTATTTTCGACTACCTATACCTCGCCCTCGTGTGGATGGGCCACGACACGAAGATGACCCACCTTTGTGCGGTAGCTAAACGAAACTAAGTGGGGTCCCCATATGCGCATCACCCTCTAATTGGCACTCGATCGGGAGTGGTCACTTTTCATTATTACTACTATGAACTTTTAAAAAAATTTGATCATTTCCTCACACGTAGACCTTTAAAGAACGAGCTACAACCCTCTTCATTTAATTGAAAACTCAAGGTTGGGATAAAGCATATAACCAAGCAAAAACTGTCAAATGCATACCTTGGATTCACGCTTTTCAAACAGGCAACCCATCCATTCACTCTTCAAACACACAAGACATGACACATCAAAGAGTCAAACTTGATACTTCATCCTTTGACATTTCACGCACTATGTTCCTCGACATTGATCAAGTAGGAGAAGCTAAGTTCAATGATTCAAAGCAAGTAGTCACGTTGTATGCTACGGGGTTTACTTGGAACCCTCAAATTTAAAATTTTGGAGCAAATTCTAGGTTCCAAGTAAATTCCTATCATGCTATTCAACCATCACAATCCGTTCCATTTGTTCACAATTTCACACTAAAATATATCAAACATTCATCATCATTTGAGAAAAGTGATCAACTGACTATGGTATTCATTCAGATAAACATCCGGAACTCTAAACATGAAACTTTCAAACCCCCCCCCCCCCCCCCCCCCCACACACACACTTAAGACATATTATCCGTAATGGGGGAGTTCAAAGATGAGGTCTCGGATCGTTGGCATAGGGGTGTGTTGAATGGTTGGATGATGCACAACTATAGTCTTCTTTGGAGATCTGAAGATAGGAAGTATTCAAACAACAGTAATTAAGTATTTGATATAGTTAATATAATATATAGTTAACTACCCTATATAATTACTACTAGTGTTGTTCACACAACAGTAATTAAGTACTTGATAAGTAAATGACAATAACAAAGTTATAGTTTAAAGAAGCAAAAGGAAAGAAAATTAAGAAATTGATTAAGAAAGGTAAAAGTTAGAAAATAACCATGTAATGTCGTCAATTTAGCTA